GACGGGTATTTGCATACACAAAGAGTGCAATGCGCACCACCCGAAGGATGGACATATTTGAAACTCGGACTTGGGGGGGAGGGGGACAGGGGGGGCAAGGGCAACATACATAACCTAAACATCTGTACCCCCATAATATGCTGAAATAAAAAAAAAAAAATTCAGTCCCTCAGTCTCATTAGTCACATTTCAAGTACTCAATGGCTACTCAAGGCCAGCGGCTACCTTGCAGGACAGTATGGCCCCAGAGCTTGAGAATAATGACTCATAACTTGATGCCTTCATGGAAAATAAGCAGTTCTGATTGAACCCGTTTGTAAAACCAGAGCAATGATGGAGATGGATGAGGAGATGGATGAGTTAACGCATCTCTGGAGACAGACATTGCTGGATTCAAGTTCAAGTTTGTGTGCAGGTGTCCTCTGGCATGTTACCTTATTTCTCTGAGCCTTTGTTTCCTTAGCTGCAAAATGGTCATCATAATGCCTTTCTTGCAGGGTTATATAAGACACGGAGTCAATACATGGAAGCTGATTATGGTCATAGTTGTTTTATTTGTAAAACAAAGTACCACAAGCCAAGTGGCCTTAAAACAACAAAAGTTTGTTTTCTTACAATTTGGAGGCTAGAAATCTGAAATTAAGGTGTTGGCAGGGCCATCCTCCCTCCAACACCTCTAGGGATGGATGCTTCCTTGCCTCTTCCAGTTTCCATTCGCCCCTGGCATTCTTTGATTTGTGGTACCATCTAATCTCTGTCCCCATCTTCACATGGCTGTCTGCCTTCTGTGTGTCTCTGTCTCTCCTCTTCTTATAAGGGCACCAGTCATATTGGATTAGGTGCACCAGTCATATTGGATCATATTAGATTAGTGACTTCATCTTAACTTGATTATATCTACAAAGATCCTATTTCCAAATAAGGTCACATTCACAAGTCCAGGAGGTTAGTTCTTCAATATATCTTTTAGGGGGGCACAATTCACCCATGACAGTTATGATTATGAATTACCCAGCTATAAGGTATAGTCATGCTGTGGGTGATACAGGTTGTACCTGATAGAATTTGTCCAAAGAAGGAAAAGCTTTCCGAAACTGTGAGTTGCCCAGTTGGGCCAAGTGCAGTTGCCTTTCTCTATGTTATCCCACAAAGCTCTCTGCAACAAAAGTCATAAAGAATAAATGATTCACAAGCACTCTTTCATGCTTTCACTTTACATTGCTCAACTCGAAAGCTACATGCAATTTAGTTTCATTCCTCTTTTCCCAAAATGGATTGTTTAGTTCACTTTGCTTCACTTTGCTTTTGGTTTTGTTTGGTGGGCTAAGCTCATCTGGGTATTCAAAGGATTTTGCCAGCGAGTAAAGCTTTATCTCTCTATACGAATTTGTTACATAGAGCAGCTAAGTCCAGACCCATCAGACTCAGAGTACAGGATGTGAGCAGGTGAAACACAATGCACTATATAGCGCGCACTGTCGAAACCTTTGATGAATGCTCTTTTTAAGTGTTCAGTTGGATTTTAGCCTAAAGAAACAAAATAAGTATAATTGAATAGGACATGATTAAAAATGTTTTAAAGCATTCTATCTAATGAGATAGATTGATTGCCTGTTTCCCCAGAAGAACTAATAAGCAGGTAATGAATGGAATCTTTATGATAAAATACTGCTTTTATTTTCATCCTTTGTAAGAATTTTTTAAGTCCCATCAAATGCTGAACTTTAAGGTAATGGGCATGTTCTGTTCTTCATTAGAAAATCTCATCTGTGACGAACGCCTTTGTCAGCCTTTGAAAAGGCCCCGCGCTACCACTCCAGTTGCCAATTTAGCTTGGTTGTATTTTGCTACACAGTCCAAAGTAATTAGGTTAATTAGTCATTTCCATTTAGCTTATTAGAAGGCTAGAAATCCCTTTCCCTCATTTGGAAGATTAAATGTTGCAATTGTGTCCAATCCAGAGCTTCAAGAAAGTGTGTTTCAGACCCAGCTCCGGCAGCTGGGAGCACTGATCACAGTGTAATTTGCTCGGCTTTGTGAAGATGCCAGAGGGGGGAACAGGGCTGCAGAAGGGTTAATGGTGATGCAAGCTGGGAAGAGGGGGTGAGTGGCTGCCTGGAAGAAGATGAAAGTTAGTTCCACAGTGCAGAGAGGAATAATTACAGCAGCTGCAGCTTTCTTAGCCTGTCAAGAGCCCTCCTGCTGTCTGGGCAGATGTCAAATCTTATTAATGGAGCCCTTCCTAAGTGCCAGGCAGCCCGCTAGGCCAAAGGCATACAAAGATGCCTGCGAAAGTTCTTGCCCACAGGGAACTCACAATCTTGTGGGAGTAACAGACAAGTGAACCAGCAATTGCAATTCAATAGCTCGAGGAGCCTCCAAGGAAGGACGAGGGAGGGCTTCATGGTCTTCAAAGCACTTGTATCTACATTAGAGTGTGAGATGTGGCAGACCAGGTTCACTTGGCCTCATTTTCCAAATGGAAAAAACCAAAGGTTTCAGAACAGGCGCCAAGTGCATTGGCTCGTTAATGGTGGTGCCGGGGCCAGAACTGCCCTCTCTTGGTGCACTCTCTGCCTCCCTCGCTCCGCCCCACGCCGCGGATCAGCACAAACGAGGGTACCTTCCCTGCTCTGAGCGGTCAGGGGGAAGGTGGGAAGCCACAGAGCCCACGTGAAAGGACACGTTAAGCCAGAACACGGGTTTATATCCCCACTGGAGAGGAGCGTAGACAAGCCCGGATCAAGTGTCCGTCCTTCTGCAGCTGTCCTTGTCAGCGGCTGGACTCCTACCGCGATCACATTGCTTCCCATCAAGCCCTGTGCTCTCCCTCCTCCAGGCTCTGGCTCTTTTTGATCCTTCCCTTAAAATGATCTTCCTGCTCTCTACCTCTCTCTGCCCAGCAGAATCCTACACACCAAGTGCTCCCTCACCTCCTTTCTCCTTAACTCAGGACTGCAAGCTCCTCGAAGGCACATGTTTGTGATTGTCGTTCACCTTGTATCCCCTAGTGCCTGCCATGTTGCAGGCCTTCCATGAATGCTGTAAGAGTAGACAGGTGAGTGAATGAACTCAAGTCACAAGAATGTATTGGGTCCCTTAGAATTCATGGCACTGTGGCAGGGGCTTTAGACACAGTCCAACATTGAATCACATTGGCAAAGCCACACGTACGGGCAGAGCTGAGTCATGGTGGCAGGACTGCAGGTAATGAAGTGTCTAAGCAAGCGATGTTGATGTGGGCTCTCTGAAGAAACAGGATGGAGCCCCCACACTCAAAGTTCAATTCCAATATCAAAACTGATGATGCCGCACACAAACCAAGTGGGCATGAACGAGTTTATTACTCAGGTACTGAGGCTTTCCAGGCAGAGCAGGGGAGCTCACAGGCTGTCTGAAAAAGGCTCGAGAGAGCCAGGAAAGGAGACTGCTTTGGGGTTTTCATGGTGATTAGCGGGTGGGGCCAGGGTGAGGGTTTCTGTGCGTGGGCAGGGGCTTGCCTGGTACAACTTCCATCCAGTGCCAAAGGAGGGAGAGCCCAGGCTTACTTTTCAGCTTGCCCAGATGTAGGGCAGAAGGATAAGGCTTAAAATCTATCAGCAGTCAAACATCTATAAATTAAGGCAGACTCTTCATTAAGGATGTTGACACCATGAGTAGCTCTAAGTGCTCTGCAAAAGGATGGGAGATTCTAGGTTAGGGAGGATATGCCCAAGGGAGGTTGCAGATTTTTGAACTGGACTCTACAACTTGCAGAACCTTAACAAATAATAATTGTGCCAACGAAAGAAAAGGAAGAAGTAAAATTTGGGGGAGAACAGGATCTTATCTATGGTGAAACTAGTATGAACGAAAGACTGAGTTGGGAATGAGTCAGGAGCATTTCTAAGGCTGGAGGCAGATAAGCTTGGACAGAGTGGGACAGAATAGGACACCCGGTTTGCCGGCTGAAGGAAGGCACCAAATGAAGAGACTTGGTTACCAAGTGATGCATTTGGACTTAATCTTTATAGAAATAGACAACCTATGGAAATTTTAAGAGTTGGCATTAATATAAAGCCAATGAATGATTTTAGAGACATTTGAAAGAAGAAATTGACAGGGTTTGGTGGCAGAATGAGTTTGGGGCTGAAAGGGAGAAGTCAATGACTTTAAGTGTCCAGGCTCCGTGACCAGAATAATTATGCTACCTCTTCTCTCCCCCGTTTCCATGCAATACCCTGCAGGCAGGTGTGGCTCAGTCTCTGCTGCTAACAATATCCCCAGAATTTTATTTGCTAAGCCTTGCCCATTACTGGGGCAGTTTGCTGAGGATGAGCTGATCAATATCCTTCCTCTTCCTTGATTTTCCCTGGGGGAAGATCCAAGGCTCAAGACAACAGTATAAATGAGACAGAATCATGTATATAACACCCTCTTGTCTCTCAACCCCAACACAATGCAAATGACAACTTTCTGGAGAAACTGCATTTCAGAGCAAGATTCTCTGGAATTTCCCAGGCACTTTCATCAATGGAGGAATTCTGTAACCTGGATCGGGACATAGAGGGATCCGCCAAGAGCTGGAAAAAATTCGTGGAGTCAGAATGTCCTGAGAAGGAGAAGTTCCCACAGGAGTGGAAGAACAAGACAGCCCTACAGCGCCTCTGCATGATGAGAGCCATGCGGCCTGACCGGATGACCTATGCCATGCGGTAGGGAACGGGGACGCTGGGAGGCCCAGGATAGGCCAGGGCAAGGGCACTCTCGGGCGGCCACGTTAGCAGGGCTGAGCTCCAAGGACATGTGTACACAGTGATGGGAGCCTTTGCACCAACATCCACAATCCTGTGAGGCCTGCTGCTCTGTGTATGCCACATATTTTCTTAATGTCTTAGTGCAGCGGCCCCCAATGTTTTTGGCACCAGGGACCAGTTTCATGGAAGACAATTTTTCCACGGATCGGGGGGTGGGCATAAGGGGATGCTTTAGGGATGATTCTAGCACATTACTTTTATTGCACACTTTATTTCTATTATTATTCCTACATTGTCACTTGCCACTCACTGATAGGGTTTTTTTTTTTTTTTTTGGAGACAGAGTCTCACTCTGTTGCCCGGGCTAGAGTGAATGCCGTGTGCTCACAGCAACCTCAAACTCCTGGGCTCAAGCAATCCTCCTGCCTCAGCCTCCCGAGTAGCTGGGACTACAGGCATGCGCCACCATGCCTGGCTAATTTTTTCTATATATATATTTTTTTAGTTGTCCAGATCATTTCTTTCTATTTTTAGTAGAGACGGGGTCTCGCTCTTGCTCAGGCTGGTTTCGAACTCCTGAGCTCAAACAATCCACCCGCCTCGGCCTCCCAGAGTGCTAGGATTACAGGCGTGAGCCAACACGCCAGGCACTGATAGGGTTTTGATATGAGTCTGCAAGCAATTGATTTATTATGGTCTCTATGCAGGCAAACCTCTCTACTAGTGATAATCTGTATTTGCAGCCACTCCCCAGTGCTAGCATCACAGCCTCAGCTCCACCTCAGATCATCAGGCATAAGATTCTCATAAGGAGCCACAACCTAGTTCCTTCACATGCGCAGTTCACAGTAGGGTTTGTGGTCCTATGAGAATCTCATGCCCCCCGCTGATCTGATCGGAGGTGACTCCAGCGATGGGGAGTGGCTGTAAATACGAGGAAGCTTCGCTCACCTCCTGCTGTGAAGCCTGGTTCCTAACAGGCCACGGACCAGGGGGTTGGGGACCGCAGTCTTAGTGGGCACTTTGGAAAGAGGAAGCCATTGGCCCTGGAGTCTATGCTGGATAGCAAAGAAGTGACGAGAATAAGGGATGAGAGGAAAATTCCAGGGAGGCCAAGGTACCAAAATCCCTGCATCAGTTGTGGCACCAAGATAGGTGAAGAAGGGGTGCGGCCAGGGTAAATTGTTAAAAGAACCATAAGGATGGGAGGCTTGGGTCAAAGAGAGGGATGTTTCCATTTATGTTTTCAGACATCGAAAAAGTTCCCAAGTAATGACAAGGGTGAGGGTGTGGAATTAGGTGGCTGAACAGGGGGAGAAACCCAGATCACTGGAGTGGAGGTCACTGAGAATCTAGAAGATTGTCCACATGGATGTTGCTCTCACCCCGGCTGAAGGAGAGAAAGTCAGTGACTGAAGAGAGTGACCAAGGGGGCAATAGATGACATGGATGTGCAGGGGTGGTGGTGACACAGCCTGGGGACATGAGCCTCAAAGGTGCCACAGGAGTGGAGAGGGAATGGCTTGAAAACAGCAGTGGACAGCGAGAAGGACCCCAATCCCACCTGCCAGCCCTGAGGTATGTCAGGTGTAGGAGAATGAGCCCAGCTGAGAAGGCTACAGGGGAAATATTGTCCTCGAGGGACAGCGGAAGTCTCAGTTAAGGCCAGCTTTGGGGTAGACATTCAGTACGTGGTTACAGCCGTGAGGATCTGCTTGGCATAAAATGAGATACTTTGGAAGGGAACAGGTGGGCAGGGCTAGGAGATAGCAGGGATATTGAGTATGGAGGATTTAGCTGCTCACAAGCTTTCAGAAGGCGTCGACACTGATAGTCTCCTGGCGGATGGGGTGATGTAAAAAGACCCCCGGCTCCTGGGAGGCAGTCAGCCATGGCCCGGGAGGATGGGCGTTCAGGAGCCTGGATCCGGGTGAGCAGCCTGGCAACTAGCAGCACCTGTTGCTAAGTTTTGACTTAATAAGTAGTGAACTTGGAGCCAGTCCTAGCTCTGCAACTGCCTTAGCCCCTGACCTTGAGCACGACCTTCATTTCTGTAGGCCTCCATTTCTCAAATGTATATCATGATACCATGTATATCAATTTGGCAATTGAGATACATATATAAATATGTCTGTACTGTTTCTTCTGGCAGAAATTTTGTTGAGGAGAAATTGGGGAGCAAATACGTGGTGGGAAGAGCACTAGATTTTGCTTCCTCATTTGAAGAATCAGGACCAGCCACGCCCATGTTTTTTATCCTGTCTCCAGGGGTGGACCCACTGAAGGATGTGGAGAGTCAAGGTGAGAAAGGCCCCATCGTGGAGCCGAGGCTGCGCCAGCCCCCTGCCCTGTCATTCTTTGGACCCATCGGTTTCTCTTCTCTGAATTCAAGGGTCATCACACAATACCCAACATGGGCGACATACAGAAGTCAGGGGCATTGCTGAGCAAAACCAGATCACCTGCCAGAGGGAGAGGAAGGACCACTCTGGGCTGTGTGAGGCAGAATCCACAGCAACAGTGTCAGAGGAGGCCTCGTCCCCTCCACGCCACCTCAGCCGACCCCCGCACCCTAGCCAGAGCAATCTTTCTGAAATGCTAGTACAGTCCTTTCAAACTAAAGTCCAAACTCCTTAAAATGGTTTTATGTCCCTTGTCCTCCCCTATTCCTGATGAGTTTCCTATAGCTGCCATAACAGATTACCACAAAGTCAGAGGCTTAAAACAATGGAAATTTAAAATCTTACCATTCTGGAGGTCAGAAGTCATGGTGGTCTCTTTTCCTTATAAGGGCCCTTATGATTACATTGAGCCACTCAGATAATCCAGGATAATCCCCGAATCTCAGAATGATTGATTTAATCACATCTGTAGAGTCCTTTTTGCCATGTAAAGTAACATACTCACAGGCTCCAGGGACTCGGATGTGGACATCTTTCGGGGCCGGTTATTCTGCCTGCTGCGTTTCCCTGCTTCTCTCCCTCCCACCCTGCACTGCAGCCATCACGTTTAATGACTTTCCTTTCTCTAAAACAGGCTGTTTCCACTCCTGTATCCCCATCACCAGTTAGCCTCTGCTTATCCTTCAGATACCAACTTCAATGTCACCACTTCCAGGAAGCCCATTTTGAATGCCAAGGTGCTAGGTTTCCCTCCCATGTGGTCCTAGAGCACCCTATCTTTATGTGTGCCACATTGGCATTGTCTAGCAACTGCTGTGTCTTACTGTGAGTGAGAAGTCCTTGGGAATAGGGTGTCTTTTTTGCCTTAGTGCCCTGCCCCCTGCCCCTAGCACTGTGTCTTTCATGTGATGAGCACTCAGTAAATATGTATATACATAATATATATTGAATATATTTAATGAAGGAATAAGCAAACGAGTGGCTCATCAAAACTATAAAACTGGCAAAACTTTGACATTTTGCAAAGTTAAATAAATACCCAACAGGTTTTTATAAAACAAATTCTTTACAATAAATAATTCAGACCATGTAACACAAATCCATGGGCAGTCATTCTATTATTCATTATGGAATGATTGGAAAATACAGCATATGCTTTGCGCTTTGGAGGAGGTGAGACAAAGCTAACTTGGCCCTAAAGAATGGATAAGATGTGTATAATGAAAAGAATTATCTATTCACTAATTAATGTGCATTTTCTTAGTCTCCTAAAAAAAATTCAAGTAACACCTGCTCATAATTTTTTAAAGGAATCAGTAATAAAGAAGAAGCTCTGAGCAATGGCATAGCCAGTGAGGTTTATCCAAGACTTGATTATTGCTAATTGAAAACTTCTCCCAATACCCCACTGTGACAACTTGCAAGATAGACAGCATTGGCAATTTTTAACAGTCTATATAAACAAAAAAATAAAGAAGAATTTAAAATGAAAAGCAACAGTCCCCAGCTCCAGCCCTTCCTGTACTCAGCCGCCCTTCCCAGGCACTACGCTTTCGTCCATTTCTCAATTGAGTCCTCTTGAGAGTTACTTCTCTTCTTCCTATTAATAATCTTACATCGCTATTTTTGAACTTAGCAATTTTATGTACAGTATCAATTCTTGATATGAAAAAAAAAGGAATTAGCTCCCACTATGTCCTATCTGTATGGTCTTCAATTCTGTATGTTTCTGTCCGGCATCCACACAGCACAGAGCCAAGTGGATTAACTATACAGTTGTCTCCCCTTATACAAGGAGTACTGGTTGCAGGACCCCTGCATATACCAAAATCTTCGCATACTCAGTCCCACAGTGGGCCCTGTGTGTACAAAAAGTCGGCCCTCTGTATATATGAGTTTTGCATCTCTCCAATACTACTGTATTTTTTTTTATCTGAGTTTGGTTGAAAAAAAAAATGCGTGTTAAAGTGGACCCACACAGTTAAAACCTATGTTTTTCAAGGGTCAACTGTACTTATTTTCTGTATTCTTTTTTTTTTAATTGACAGACAGTAATTGTACATGCTCACCAGGTGCGTAGTGATGATGTGATACATATGCTGGGTGGTGATCAGAGTAGGATAATTAGCATACCCATCATCTCAAACATTTATCACTTCGCTGTGTTGGGAATGTCTAATATCCTCCTCCTAGCCATTTGAAACTATATAATATATTACTGTTGACTATAGCCTCAAGGCTTCAGCATTTGTGGCTTCACTAACTGAGCTAGACTGCTCCTCCCAAAGCCAGCCAATTCTTAGAGATAGCAAAAGGCTCACCTGGGAGCATGCCTTTCATATGCCAACTGACCACCCAGAGTCCACACTCCCAACGATTCCTTTATCTAACTCTCACACACCAAGCCAACAGTCCCCCTGCCCTAAATCAACCCAGTGCCTAGTACCAGGCAAGTAGGGGTAGTCCCTATGCCCCAAAACCCACCAGAATTATTCAGATTAGCCGATCTTAAACTGTTTACCCTCAGGAAACAAACTTTCAGTGGCATTTGCCCCTCTGTGTCGTGGCTCAGCCACCTCCATCGGTGAAAATCCCACCCATACAAACAAGACACACTACTGCTCACCAAGACACTCCTCTTTCTCCCAAATTTTTCAGCAGCTTCAGGGAGATGTAATTCACAAACCATACATTTCACTCATTTAAAGTGTGCAATTGAAAGTATTTTAGGATATTCACAAGGCTGTGCAACCATCACCATATTCTAATTTTAGAAAAATGCTGTTTTCCCTAAAAGAAACCAACCATATATCCACTAGCAATCACTCCCCATCACATCCCACAACCTCCCCAGCCCCAGTCAGCCATCGATTGACTTTCTGTCTCTAAATATTTGACTATTCTGGACATTTCATATGCATGAAATCATATAGAATGTGCTTTCTTGTGACAGCTTCTTTCATTTAGCATCATGTTTTCAAAGTTTAACTATGTCACAGCAGGTATCAGAACTGCATTCCTTTTTATGGCTGGATAATATTCCATTGATTGGCTATACCACATTTCTTTTCTCGATTCCTCAGTTGATGGACATCTGGGCTGTTTCATCTTTTGGCCGCTGTGAATGCCACTGCCACGACCATCCCTGTGCAAGCTTTTGTGTGAACATATGTTTTCAATTCTCTTGAGTATATACATATATATATATACCTAGGGGTAGAATTGCTAGGTCATATGGTAACTTTATGTCTAACTCTTTGAGGAACTACCAAACTGCTTTCCAAAACAGCTGCACCACTCTAGATTCCTACCAGCAACATGCAAGTTCCAATTTCTCCACATTTTCGTCAATATTTGTTATTGTCCATCTTTTAATTATAGCCACCATAGTGAGTAGGACGTGGTAGCTCATTGTGGTTTGGATTTGCATTTCCCAAATGGTGTTTAGCATCTTTTTATGTGCCTATAGGACATCTGTATATCTTCTTTGGAGAAATGTTTACTCAAATTCTTTGCTCATTTTTAAAATTGGGTTATTTGCCTTTGTGAGTTATAAGAGCTCTTTATGTATTCTTGATACAAGTTCCTTATCAGATATATGATTTACAAATATTTTCTCCCATTCTGTGGTTTTTTGTTCACTTTCTTAATGATATTCTTCGAAGCACAGAAGTTTTTACTTTTGTTAAAATCCATCTTTCAAATATCTCAACATGTTCAGGGAGGCCTGGGCGGGCCTCCCAGGTGTGTGTAGGTCACAAGATTGTCTTCCCTGGAGATGGAACGGATCAGAATACAGCCTGAAACTGAGAACCCTCCCTTTAAAATCTCCGAATTTCTGCTTACTATTAAGACAGGGGCATTTTTAGACAGGAGTCTCTGTCCTCCTCATTTGCCAGCAAATTAATAAACTCCTCTTTCCTTCTCCTCAAAAAAAAAATCAATTTATCTATTTTTTCCTTTAGTCACTTGTGCTTTGGTATTGTATCTAAAAAACTAATGCCTAACTCAAGATCACAAAGTTTTACTCTCCTTTGTTTTCTTCTAAGAGTTTAATTTTTAGCTATTACATTTAGGTCTATGAGCCATTTTGGTTAATATTTGTGTGTGGTGTAGGGAAGAGGTCCAGCTTCATCCTTTGGCCTGTGGATATACAATTACCCCTATACCATTTGTTGAAAAGACTATTCTCTCCTGATTAGACTGACTTGAAACCTTTGTCAAAAATAAATTGACCTTCAATATAAGAGCTTATTTGTGGATTGTTAATACTATTCCATTAATCTATGTGTCTATCTGTATGCCAGTAACAGTCTTGATTACTGTAGCTTTATAGTAAATTTTGAAATCAGGAAATATGAGTCCTACAACTTTGTTCTTTTCTTGATTGTTTTGGTTACTCTGGGTCTCTTAAATTTTAGGATTAGCTTGTCATTTTCTGCAAAAAATAAAATAAATGCAGCTCAGATTTCAATAAATGTTACACTGACTATGTAGATAAGTTTAGGGAGTATTGCCATCTGAATGATATTAAGTCTGATCCATGAACATGGACTATCTTTCCATTTATTAATTTTCTTTGATTTTTAACAATGGTTTATAGTTTCTAATGTGTAAATCTTGCTCTTCTTTTGTCAAATTTATTCCTAAGTTTTTTCTTTTAGATTTTGTTGTAAATGGAATTGTTTCCTTAGTTTCAGTTTCATTGCTAGTGAATTTTTATGTATTAATCTTTTAGCCTGCAAACTTGCTGAACTTGTTTATTAGGTCAAACAGTCTTTTGGTGAATTCCTCAGGATTTTCTAGATACAAGACCATGTCATTTGCAAACAGAAGTAGTTTTACTTCTTCCTTTCCAATATGAATGCCTTTTTATTTCTTTTTTCTTGCCTAATTGCC